CGAGTTTCGTGAGGTAACGGTTAAAGAAGAATACATTGGTGGGGTATTATCTTATTTACCTGAAAAAATGAAAAATAAGGATATGGCAAAAATGAGAGGTTTATATCTTACACTGAAAAATTTTGCGAGCTCTGATGTCTATGGAAAATAGTATTATAGTAGATTTAAAACTACATTGCATTTTTATTTTCTTTTAAAATTTGTCATTACAAAATCAATATCCTCTTGAAACGGAATATGCAAAAAAGATCTGATTTGTCTTATTCTTTTTTTTTTTTTATTTCAGTAAAAACCATATTATTATAGTTTTTCATGGCTTTCCGCAAGGCAACGTCTGTTATTTCTTCAGGAATTTGTTTCCAAATTTCTTTGATTAGAGCACGAGATCCTTCTTTACCATTATCCTTTTTTAGATCCTTGTATCGTTTATATAAAACACCCCATAATCAAAATAACTATTGATAACCTTTCTATTCGTAACATCATTTCTAGATTCAGCACGATCAATCTTGCTAAATAAATATAAAAAAATGATTGCATTTTTTTCGGGCGCACTCTCTTCTATAATCCCTCCCGGTAAATTGTGAAAGTTTTTCAGTAGATGATAATTCATTGATAAGTTTTCTTAGGTTTGATGAATCTTCTCTATTAACTGCTTTCGGTTTTTTACCAGTGGGCTTGTTAACAGATTTAGTCTCACCAACACTTGGATGGTAAGATCCCTATAATCGATATGTCAAATTTCCTGCTTTGCAATTGGTTATTATCGGATGGGTCTTCTATGATTATGTCTAGATATGATGAATAGTTTGTTTTTTTTGTCGAGAATAATTTTTGATGAAATATTGTGTGTTCCAGATCTTGAAGAGGATTTAGAAGCTTCTCATATTTTAGACGTTGTATTCTGATAAATTAGTTTAAATGATGTTAGAGTATAAGAGAATTAGTGGTTTTATTGTCAATCTTACAACTAAGGTTAAACAGAAGAAGCCGCATGAATGCAATAAAAGTTATTCAAAAGCGATATTAGCATCGTAAAATATTTGAAACAGGATTTTACAGGAAAGATACAAACTTGTCATTACTATCACCAGATATGATTGTCTGGTAGAATGGAAGCAAGAGAAGCATTATTATGTAGCACATCATCCATCCTGCTGAAATGGATAAAGAATTTGAAGTCAAGGATTATTCACCCATTAGTATTGTGATTTTGCTATCAATAACATAATAAATTCAAATAAAAGCTTTATTACTACTACAACTCCATTTATAAAATTAAAATCACACCAAGATTGATAACAACACTTCGTTAACTTCATTATCGAGATCAGCAGTAAACAAGAATTTTTAAATATTATATATTTATAAAAAAATTTAATAATAAAAATATAAACTCAAATTTTCATAATAATGATGATGATGATGGGGGATGATGATGATGACGACGATAATAATAATAATAATAATAATAGTAATAATAGCAATAACAATAAAGAAAGTTCTTAAACAATTTTAAAAATCTTTCAATTTATTTTAGGATTATATTTAAAAAAAAAAAAAAGGAAAAAAAGAATAATTCATAAATTTCCAAATGAATGATCAGATGATACTTGTGGATATTTTTTCTTGAAGGCAATACGAGATTTTGCAGCCTATTTATTATGATCAATTAAAATGAATTGGTGGGTGGATGGATAAATAAAAATGATTAATGATATATTTCATTTTTTTTTAAAAAAAAAATTTTGAAAAAATCACCTCTATATATTCCTGAACAACTATAAGTTCATGTTCGGTTCTCGGAAATTCTTGATACTTTTCAAAATATTGTAAAGCTCTTTCCCAATCATTTTTCGTCAATAAAACTTCGCCCATAATTAAATTTGCTAGGTCACTATCTGGATCGAC